TCTCTCTCTCTCTCTCTCTCTCTCTCTCTCTCTCTCTCTCTCTCTCTCTTCTGATGAGCCTTCTACGCCCATCACATCAGATAATTTTTTGGTAAAACTGATTCAATACATTGTTTCTTTACTCGATTTTTCATTTTTATTATGAGATATTCAGATATGTAAACCAATTAAAGTTATTCATTAAGGGCATTTAATTAAAAATTTTAAACTAAAGAATTCACTCGCGTATTCATTCATAAAATTATGGATCTACAATTGGGTTTCGAAGTAAGAATATCAGCACATTCTCATTAATATATTCTAACCTAAATTTTATCGGCCCTTTGTAATCAAGTTTACACAAGAAGCGGTTAGAATTGATTTACCAACCACTTATGTTCTAAGCACCTTTGTTATTTAAAATATCTGAATTGTCAGATGAACGTTGGATTATTCTTTTTCAAAGTTGAAATCAGATATATCCATTAGAAACTTTGCATAGCGAAATTACCTTGAAATATGAATTGGAAGGTATAGAAAATTTCATATGCTTCCGCATATAAAAGATAATACTACCGTAAGTTTTTTCACGACTTATTTAGAAATCTAAAAAGTATATAGATATGTAGTAACCTGAAAAGAGTTTTTTTCATTGGCGTAATAGTACACAAATGGTGAAACTAATAAAAATTTAAAAAAATCTGCCTATACGACATTTGAAACCTTTAAAAATATTTCCCAACCATTCTTTTCATTCCAATTTTTTTAATGTAATCTTTAATATAACATTCTGAAAGGAATTCGTAGGGACTTTTTATCAAGTTAGTTTAACACGTTAAGGACGGCGTATACCACCGGTGGTTCACAAGCGAATGCTTTATCTGGCGGCATATACCGCCGGTGGCTCACATCAGTCATAGTTTTGTTAGATGGAAAAAGCTTTGTGGTTAAAAATAATTTTTTCATTGAAATATTCAAGAGCTTATTTTTCCGTGGGTATGAGCGTAACGTATATGATATAATAAACGTAGAATAAAAGGAACTTACACTTTTGAGTGTAAAGCTTTGGTAAAGAACATTTTGTGCAAGGCGCCGCCATAGCCAAAGCAAAGTACAATTTTTGATGCCGCCCGATGAAGTGAAATAGGAAAAACTGCGCCGTGCTTAACGTGGTAAAGATTGTTTATTAAAAAACAATTTAGTAGGCTATGGCCCACCATTAAATACCGTACAGCATTTCGGTTGATACAGTTACTTATATAACGACTTTTCGAAATAAGGTCTTATATTCAAAGCGGTCGAAAAAATGGTCTAATCTGAACTATTTTCAATAGCGTTGGACCAAATCAAACCAATGCATCAAATTTCACACAAAATACTACGAAACTCGCGACCTGTACGCTGAACTCGCGATAAGTAGATAAACTATCGACCGAAAAGTTAAAGTCGACTTAAAACTGATTCTGAGCTCATCTTTATAATAAAACGTATAACTATCTTAAATCCTGCCGTCTATGTGTAACAACCTAATAAACCCTTGTAGCACAAGTGGTGCAGGTTAGAAATCCTGCCCTTTTCTGGTTCAAAATTTGACTTTTCCATTCAAATACTCGCCAATTGCACAAAAAGATATATTTTTAAGATATTTTTAAAGTCTTATACGTGATCCTTTGGCTATAGTCATACAAATCAATTAATTTTCTTTCAATATGCGCCGTAAAGATAGATCCAGTGTTGCATTTTTGCAAGTTTTCAAAATTTTTTTTCAAATACCTAATCATGCCCTTAATAATCTCTTCAATTATTATTATTGCATTATCTTTCTTTCGACCCCCAAAAAAAAAAACGATTTTTTGAGCGGTGCCACCCCCTAACAAAAACACTTTGCAATCCTTGTACATCAATGTGATTTGGCGAGAATGGAGGATCCGATTCGATACAAATACAAGACCAATCGGACCTTATCCGATTTAGTTGATAAGAGATAAGTTTGACAGCGATTTGTTTTTTCTTGTTTAGTTTTTATTAGTGTTTTTTCACGCTTAAATCCCTTTTTTCCTTTAGGACATTTATTCTTAAATATATCTTTTTTAGTTTTTAAATATATATATATATATATGTATACATAGTATGTACATATATATATATATATATATATATATATATATATATGTAGATAGGCATGTATGTACATACACACGTATATATATGTATAAACATATATATTTATCTTTTTATACTCTTGAGTTTAAAACACAAAATATTTCTGAATTTGTTCGTTTTGCTGTTGTGTTCGCTTCAAGTACATAATACATTAGTAAATGTATACATACAAACAGCATGTACACTTTTAAATACATATTTATATATATATATATATATACATATACACATATCCATATATATATATATATATATATATATACATATATATTCATACAATACGCATATAGTTGTTTTTTATTAACATATATTTTTTATATGAAATTAAAAGTAAAAATTACGGAACTCAAAAAAGAATCATTATTTACACTATTACTTATCAGCTGTTAGACAGCAAACTTCTTTTTTTTACAGTTACTTAGATACAGTAAAACCTTCTTGAAGAAAAACAAAACATTATAATAACCTTATAAAGAACCAAGTGTGAACAGCAAGTGGAATTGTGTTGGTCGCGCTGCGTGTATTTGATTGACGAGTCACGAAAATTGTAAACTAAAAATATGCTAAATTATAACTCTTTCAATTTTCCGCCCACTACTTTATATCAATTTTTATGTACATACCCACACCACCCACCATCAAAGGATATGCTTGTAATAATAATTGTAACACTCTGTTACTAACCGACAAATACAAAACGTGCGCATGTTCTTGGTCAACATGGAAATTTCGTATCAATGTTGGGGATGTTTTTCTATCCGCTCATGATCGAAAGAATGCAGATAATAAATGGAAACTTATCCTTGGAAATATATCCTTGGGGTAAATCCAACTCCTTTTTTTAAGCGGTTTTGAAATGGCACGGTTTACCAATAAAAACAAGTACACTTTTTTACACGAATTTTTTTTTAGTGCTTGACATATCAGATGTATGTACGGATGGTAGTGTTTTCGGTCCAGTCCGTAATAAACGTGCACGCTCGTTGTCAAGTGCCAATGAATAGTTGCGAAATTGATTTTTATTCCTTTCATTTTCGAAAAGTTTTGGAACAAATTCCCAAATTTAACATAAGCCGCATGTATTTTTTTGCACGATTTTCTAAGGAACTTACTTACCGCGTAAAAAAGGGAGTTGGGCGTATTTCTAGTTTACTATTACAGCTCAGATCTTTAAAAAAAAACGGCACAAAGAAATAATTTGAAATTTTATCCGCACATGTTTTAAGACCACTATGAATATGCATTCAAAGGGCCTATTAATAGACCCACAGTTAATAAAATGCTTTATGACATGATGGGTATCAAAGAGTAGTTAGTTTTAAGGCGCGAAATATAACGTTCTCAATTTTTTAATTCTTTGCCCTGCAGATTTTTTTGATTCACAGCAAGGGAAGTACGGAGACATGAAAGAAAATTGTATTGCGTTTGAGAGAAAACGTCGTTTTTAATTTACTTTAACCGTAATATGTTTCGCATAACAGGTAGGAGTAGGTAGGTTTATTGTTTTCTTGCTTTTTCTTAAATTTTTGTTTTTAATATTATAGTTATATAATTAAAAATGTTTAAAAGCATTTATTTATCACACATTCTACGACTAAGTTATAATAATTACTGAATTTCAGGATGAATTCATAATCATTATAATCGTTAGTTCTTACTCATCGGTTAACTCTAGAATTTTTTTTTTTTTTTTACATTTGTTTTTGTTTTCATTTTTTAACATATATATAATCTTTTTTTTTTTGCAATATTTTCACATATGTTTACAATTTTTCCGGTGTATAGGTGTACGAGTCTAGAACTCTTTACATCATTTCTTTATATTTCTTTAATTATTAAAATAATTAATTCCACAAAAGTGTGATTAGGTTTTAATTAACGTAACGTTTCAAAAAAAAAAAAGAAAAAAAAAAACAATTCGTTGTTGGTCTCTGTAAGTCAGAATGAAAATTAAAGTAAAATAAATGAAATTTTTAAAATAATATTATGAAATAAAAACATAATATATTATAAATATTTTCTTTTAAATATTTTTTTCTTTAAAAGTTTAAAAAATATTCCATTATAAAAAGAAATTAGTATAGTTTCCTAAAAATATATTTTCTTTTTATTGAGTTCCCATTTTAATAAATAATTTAAAAATTGCTTTAAATAAAATTGTATTTAATAACTGTTTTCTTGTAGATCAAAATTTTTTAAACTAATTTTTTTTGCCGTTTTTTTTTTCTTGTAAACAAAAAATTCCCATTTTAATACTTTTTTTTTCCTTTTAATGTTTTAAAATAAATATTTACCGACCTAGTTAATAAAATCGAACAAAAACGGAAAATTATCCACAGATTTATTATCGAACGCAAGAAAAAACCTTTAAATTAAAAATTTTTAATTTAAAAAAAAAAATCAATTTTTTATTTTACGTTTTTTTAAAATATCAAAAGTCTATATTTTTTGCTTAAAAAACTTTCATTTAGTTTTTTTTGTTTATATGTATAAAAGAAACACGTTAAGGAATTTTTCTTTCTCCATATTTTTAATGTAAACTCTAAAAAAAAAAAAGAAAAATTCATAATAATAAAAATTAAAAACAAATGTGTGAATCATTTTTCGAAGAATATCTTTAATAAAAAAAAAGAAAAGAAAAATAACTTTTCCGTGTTATTTATTAATTATTTAAAAAAAATTCTTTTAATTCAGTAATTAAAATATAAATGAAAAAAAAATTTAGAACTGATTTTCTTTTTTTTTTTCGATTATTTTGTGATTTTTGTCTCTCTCTTCTAAATAAAATTATAAATCGCTGTACAGATGTACATCAGGAACAGCGAAGCCATGATTATTGTTAAGACAATCAATAACGTGCTCGCAAATATATACAGACATCAGTCCTTGGGGCCTTTGCACAGTAATTTACGGGCAAAGCCAATGGCTGAATCTCAGAGAATCTCACAACAACGACAATACCTTGGTCGATGTCCAGTAGTAACTGGTGGCGGTGTGACTGGGGCAAAATAAGCATGTACCTTAATATTTGGTAGATGTTGCTGTCAAACGAAACATAAAGAAATTTCATTATAATAAATGGAAGAATATTTAAAGGAATTATATGCTTGCTTGGATTACCTTTAATTTGCGTATGGCTGCCCTGGTAATCATTTGGCAGTCGAATAGCTCAATTCTTTGTAAATTATGACAAGAAACTAAATGCTCTAATGTACGATCCGTTATAAGAGGACAATTATCCAATTCGAGGACGGATAAACTTTCAGCTGCACAACTTCCGGCGGCTAACTGGCGTATTCCATCGTCCGTTATTAGCTCACAGTGGGATAAAGTCTGCAAAAAAAAAAAAAAAATAAATAAATAAATAAAACATATAGCATTTTACAAGGCTCTTCGTTTCTTTTTGCTTTGACGATAGGTACCAATTTTTCGAGACTTGGGCAACCAGTTGCCAAATGAGCCAATGTTAAGTCGGTAATTTGATTGCACTCTTCTAGATCCATACGTTCTAAATATTTGCAATTTTTACCCAATGCCTGAAAGCCTAAATCGGTGAAATTGCGACAGCCGGATACTTCAAGGGTATTCAAAAAAGGATTATTTTGGGAGAGTGCCATTAGAGAGAGATCGGTCAGTTCGGCACATTTTGAAACGCATAATTTCTGTAGTTTCGGGCAATTATTGGCTATTTGTCGTATCGATGAGTCGGTAATATTCTGCAATTACAAACACGATATATATATAAATATATATAATATCAAAATTAAACGCCATAAAGTAGTAATTTTTTTTTTTTTTTTTTTAATTTACCTCACAGCTGTGTAAGTTGAGCACCATTAGGTCTGGACAAAATTTAGCCAAACAAGAGATGGCATTATCGTTCACCAATTTACAACCTTTACTGCAGAATTTTCTTAATTTTGTACAACCGCGCGCTAAAGCTTCAACACCATTTTCCGTTATCAAATGACACCACGAAACATTGATTTCTAACAAATTCTATATGAAAAGATACAGAATAAAATTTACGCTTCTTCATAAGAAAACAAATAAATAAGTAAAATAAGCAAATTAATGAACCAATGTTCTGCCTAAACAAATTTACATCATGTCAAACTCGTTTGCATTTATTTCCGAAGCTCAGTGTATCACGACGACAGAGGAAACGTGCTATGTGCAGATTTTCAACAATAAGTAAAATAGAACTCGTTTTATTCGAAACTAGTGTAGTAAAATAGAAGTTCATAATTATACCCTACGCCACTTGTGGTACAATAGGTTTGTGCGGATGTTTGCAATATCCAGAACGACTTGAGATGAATCGACCTTTTATCGTAGCGTTCTAAGCTTATCTGTCCGTCCGTCCGGTTTCTCGAAAATATTAAGATATTTTGACGAGATTACACCGATATCTTTTGTCATCTATGGTCAACGCTGGACCACTCCCGTATAATGCCTTGTTTTGAAAGGTCGTAAAGTGACGTGGCACACAATTGTGTTCTTACTTGTTTTTCTATTAATTTTAAAATGTGAAGCTTAGAAATGTATTGGAGACATTCCCAAATAAGTAAACGGTCTCTCTCTGCATTCAGATGGGAGCGGAGTTAGACGCGGGTACCTCCCCGTCTGCGACCATCAGTGTATTAATAATGAGTATAGGAGAAATGCTACTTATTTCTTGTTGTTTTTTTGTTATCTCTTCCCTCCATTCATTCCATGGACGTCCATTTTAACACTTCATTTTTACAGTCTGCATCGCTTGGGGCACAGGCTATATTACGGTGTAACAACCCGGAAGGACTTACGACAAACTCATCTTTTTTTATACCGATCAATTTAGAACTATTTTGTAAGACAACTTAAGCTTGTCTCGCAAAAGAGAAGGAGACGAGGAAGCGCCCACACTCTTAGCTTAGACGTGTGCCCAATCGGTAAGTTCGGGTAAATCGGTTATGCCTCACCGACTGAACACTTACTATAATTACGACCAAAGTAAAGTCTACCGGATTAAGATTTGAACTTGCGAACATCGACTTGGTAGCAGCGGTTTTTACATACTCAGCTATTTATGGAGATGATCTGTGTCCCTCTCCTTGCAGATTTTTTTGCATCCCAAAGATATGAGATTGAGATATTTTGAAGAAGTTTGAAAAATGGAAATGGTTTATATCCGCCTTATAAATGCATACTATTTGTATGAACGCAAGAAGACCGCGAGAAGGAAAAATCGAATCATCGGATCCAAAAACTTCACGTCAATTTAGAAATGCTACTAATTAGCAGCTTGTGTTAAGAAATTTTGCAAATTGAAGATTTCATTCATATAAAGATATTTTCAAAATAAAGATTTAATCCAATCCATTTTCAATAGCGTTTGCCCTTATGCCAAATTCGTCAACAAACCTCGAACAACAAATACAATCCAAAGACAAATATAAGCTTTAATCGATTTTGAAAATGATTCCGTTTTGTTCGATAAAATAAAACTTGGATTTATAGTAAGTTCTTTTGTTTTTGTGTTAGTGTTACATATATCCTCACAAGCGTAATACACTCTCGCATCACAATTGACGATATAAAAGGAGCCCCAAGTCTGGCGAAAAAACAGTAACTTTGGCAATCTGTCAAGCATTTCCACAAATATCTATATGGGCAACAATTTCACCTAAGGGTAGCGGTCACGAACATAAAAGATATAATAATTTCAAGAGAAATAGCAAAACTGATTCATTTTTTGATATCTAATTTCCACTTCTTTTTGAAAGGAACTAATTATACGTTGAAATGGGTTAAATTTCATGCTAATGTTCACCTTTATGCGGGCCTCGATATCTTAAAGCAAGGATTTGCTACCTTTGTTACGTTATCAAGTCTCCTCGGAGGGAAGAAATTCTTTATGTGCTTTCCAACTTATAATTAAACAAATCGCCGAATGGAAATCTGGGTAGTTCTCTTTAGTCATTGTTTCATCACTTGAAGTTCACACTCGTCTCATATTTTAAATAATAACTGAATAAAGCGCTGCTTGTCGTCATATTATCGCTGATACGAACGATTCCCGAAAATTTCAATTTGTGGTAATTCGTCGAAGGTGAATGTCAACGTAAACAATTTGCAATTAACGCATATCGATAAATGTGACACATATGTCTCGCACAATCTGTTCTTACCAAAGTGAAAATTTAAAGTGTCATAAGGTTTATCCATTTCATTAGAATGAGCTCTGCTAGTCTTTTATTGTAATAAGTTAGGCATTGTTTCGAAATGATTATTCACTTATTCAAATATACTGAAGAATTCTGAAGATTATTGTGTCTAATTGTAGGAGCGTGGGTGGGTGGAAAAAAACAAGCAAAGTTGAACGAAAGTAAGTTGAAGAAATCTTTAGTTGTATTTCTCCTTTCGAATGAAATAAACACTAAGGGATATTATTGTCGGAAACAGATGTTGCTTTGAAATGCTTTTGCAATATTTTAATAATCGGCACTTTTCGAAACAAAAGCGAAAATATTCCCTTCGAGTATACTGTGCACTAATGACCTTAAGCGTTTTTCACACATCTCCCTAATGATTGATTGTGGGGAGAAACTTAAAAGGCAGGAAAAACAACAAGGTAAAATGCAAACAATGGAGAACAAAAACAAAAATGAAAGTAAACATGATTGCGTTTGAAAATCAACGACTATTACAACAATAATAATAATAATAATAACAATAATACTAAAGCATACATTCATTTTCAGCGTTCACCATAGAATCCTTTCTATTCAAGGAAATCAAGCTTTTTTTCTGTTGCTGGGCTGATGGAGGCCAAATTTATTGACTATGCAATATTTTGTATATAAAACATACACATACACATGCACGTTAATGTATATTGATGTATATAAATATATATATAAATATATATATATATATATATATATATACATATAAAGAAAAAGTGGGCCAATGTAAAATAAACTAAAAAAGCAGAATATAAGAAGAAGAAGAAGAAGAAGAGCATACGAAGCAGCCACAAAGTCAAAGTAAATAAGTGAGTAATGTATGTATACATATACAGTTACATACAAATATATTATTGTAGATATATAATGGGGAAAACCAAAATATTACAAAGGTTGTTGCATATCTAATGGGAAAATAATGTGTTGTGAAGAGAAAAAGCATTTAGTAAAAAATATTTAAAATATACTCCCCATATCCGCTGAGGTAAGACACGAACTTACATACATATAAATGTAAATGTAATGTAAATGTTTTCAAAAATGTGTAGTAATACGAAAAACTAGGCCATGAAGTGTAAAAGGAGAAATGGAGATCTGTGATTTGCTTTCCTCCCTAAGCATTATTAATTTATAACCAACCATCTCTTCCAGTGAATACAATAAAACGACACCAAGGGAGGACTAAGCACATATATACATACATATAAATATACGTATGTAAATTCATATATGATGATGAATAAACATACACGTTAAAAATGACAAGAATCTAATTGTAAAAACTAAACTGAGAGCGAGAGTATTCTGTTTGTTGCCATTATTATTATTCTACTCTTCTTTTTTAAGCCTCAATATGTCAAGTTTGTTTATATTATCAAAATGCAGCCTATAACAAGGACATGCAGGCAAACGCATGCAAAATACATACAACTATGGAACGTAACGAAGAAGAAGAAAACTGAACACATATAACGGCCACAGTAACAACAGCAACAATATTTAAAGAAAAAATCAATGAACCAGCATATATATATATATATATATATATATATATAGAAGTGAGATAACAACAACTACAATGATAACGATGAATATGTAAGGGAGAAATTTTTGAAGAAAGAGAGATAGTCCGAGAGAAAAAGAGAGAAAGAGAGAGAGAGAGAGAGTGAATAAACAAACTTTAAGGCAAACTAAATGCAAGCAACAAATCGAAGAATGTTTGCGAGATTATGGGAGAAAGAAAAAGAAAGAGAAAAAGAGACAGTGAGAGAGAGGAGGACGTAGAGCAAAAAATAGTGTGAAATGTAAAAAAATTCTATTTGCTTTGTTTATAATTTTGTGCTATAAAAAAACAAAAAAACTTACCAAACAACCATCCGAAATGGATTTTAAACTGTTGTCGGTTATATTAGAACATGATTCTAAATTGATTGAGGTTAATTTTGAACAGTAATGACTTATCGATTCAATTGAAATGTCAGTAATTATTTTGCATTGAGATAAATCCAATTGTTCTATGTTGTGGCAGTGTTCAGCTAAATATCTTTAATAAAAAATATTTCAAAAATATATCAAAATTTACAAAATTTTTTTTTTTTTAATTTATCAAAACAAACTTACTGTATAGATTTATCTCCCACCGATTGGCAACCACGTAGAGAAAGAAATTTTAAAAATCCTCCACAACGTACCGATATATTTTCAATGACGGGTCCCTTTAATATTAGAAACATAAGGAAAAAGAAAAAGACATTTATTTAATAATCATTTAACCTTCGATTATTTTTCTCTACAAACTGGTCGGAAAAGTATTAATTTAATAATTCGGGCACGAAGATATTGCTTTCTCAGCAACAATGGACGGACGGATGGACATTATTAAAAGTAAATTTATATTTTATGCTCTGACCGACTTGTAATAAATAATAAATAAGGTAAAAAAAAATATATATTTTTATTTTACCCCAATATCACGTTGAAAATCAAATAGATTGACTTTCTGCCAACAGGATCCATCTAAGGCAAGTATGTTCCAATATTTGCAGACCTATAATAAAATAATATGCGATTATTATCGTTAATATCGTTGATGAAAATATAAAAAATTTATTATATACTTGGGCGCATCTGCATAATGAAACCACATCCAAATATGAAAATATACGTAATAAAATTTCCTTTGGCAGTTGTTTAATAAGTTCATCATCATTATCGGGTGCATTGAGGAATGTTTGCTAAAATGTACAAGAATGCAAAAATTTGCTTATGTTTATACCGTAAATTGATTTTATAATGTTATTGGTTAATGTACATGAAAATGAAGGCGCTGAACAATTTAATTATGCAACAATACATAGAATGGAAACAATAAACTAACGAAAATTGTCAGTATACAATATCATGGCAAACGATGAAAATTATGTAAACTTTTTTATAGCCTCATTAAAATTTGATTATAGCTCTGATCATTTTTACAGATTAAGGATACTTTTCAATAAGACGTTGAGAAAAGACGTTGGAACGGTTTAACTGATACAAGGCAAGTTATCTCGAATACTTCTGCCGAATAAATTCAATTAGATTTGAACGACGGGTCTGCTAAGTTATTAAGACTAATTTAGCTTTGGAGATCTATGAAGAAAACTTAAGCCATTTTGGTGCAAAAGGGGATCAAACTAATCAAGTGTTTCCTGCTTAGATTAATAGAAAGAAAATTGAGCTGTCTTCGATAATGAATAAAAAATAAAACAAGCTCGAAGGAAATAGTTATTATACCTTAGCGCTACTTGTGATACAAGGGCATATTATGCCTGTGTGGATGTATGCAATACACAGAAAGACTTGAGGACGACGACGCATCTTCTATTATCCCCCATCTATTCCGAAAGTAATTCTAAAGCTTGTCTGTCCGTCTAGTTTTCCAGTGTTCGATCTACAGGTCGCAATTTTTGAGATATTTTTTTTGGTGGAATTTTGTACACCGACGTATTTTGGCCTAAGAACGAACGCTATTGAAAATAGATCGGATCATTTTTTCGGCCTCTTCCCCTATAACATTTTATTTTGAATAGTTGTTACATCAACAGTTTTATGGGACATGACCTACTGAAGTATTTTTACTTACTTTTAATTTATTTACCATGAAGTTATTATTTATAATCGATAATAATATCGATATCGAACTTGACATAAATATTTATCAAGGTTACGTCAATATACAATATTTTCAATTGTGAAAAGGATCGCAATCGCAAGTGACTCTGTTGTTTAATAGGACGGTATTATGCCATCACCGTAATCACACAAAGGCTATGAGCATAAATCATTTGAATGTTATTGCGTAAGAATCATAAACAGCTTAGCGTAAGCAACCATTATTTTAAAATATTTTTAAGAGAGTTTTCCGGGTAGTCCCTTAAACACATGCTACTTTCAATTTCTATAATCATCTCAAGTTAGAAATTATGCTCATGTTAGCATGAAGGTTTTAAAGGCCCTCATCCCGTTTATCTTTGTAAATACACCAAGAGGCGAAGCCAATTATACTTCTCTGATTCACTTATTTTCATCATTGTGAGCAAACTCGTGAACTGGTCGGGCCAATACTGATATGAAAATCTTAACAAAAACAAGTACAAAAAATATTACAGTGAGGCACGGATCGTAATGCGTTACATATAAAGTGGTCGAAAAATGGGTCCCATTCAAAATATTTTCAATAGCGTTCGCTTTTGCGTCTTACGTCAGTATCTTATCAGTGTTCATCGCAAGAAATTAAGAGAGAAGGGGGACAGACAAATTTAGATTAGTTTCTGAATTGATCCGTTTAATAAAGGTGGATCTATCTCAAGTCTTCCTAGCTGTTGCATACATCTGCACAAACTTGTAACACAACTGCTGTGGGGTATAATAAATTTGAGAAAACGTCAAATAAAAAGTTTGAGACATTCGAGAAAATGACGAAGGTTTCTTGGTTATGGGCACATTGTGCGAGTTATTGGACTTGGAAAAAAGACCACTGAAATAACATCCTACTAACTAGCTCTTTGCAATAATTAAATTGTATTGTCGGGTACGAATTTTTCATGTGTGAAGAGCATTTTAGAGTCGCACAATATATATTTAAAAACGCAAGGACCTCGAGCGATATTATTATAGTATCGTTTTATATGTGCTCAGGTAACTGAAAATTTCAAAAAAAAAAAATTCACTGAAAAGGGAGAGATAATTAACTAAGATCAAGTAACTATGGTTGGCGCTCAGTAGTAGAGTGGAATACTATAATATTAGAGAGCGTAGAGTGTACTAATAGAATAGTACAACCCACATTAAACACAAACCAACCCACGTTCCTGATGAGTAAATTATTAACCGATTCCCTAATCATATTCAGTGGTAGCTCCGGGACAACTAACTTCGTTCCGGTTCGATGAAATCTATGTCAGTTTGCTCCTATGAAAAAATATACCTTGGGTTGGTCAAAGTTCACGTTAACCCCTAATTGTAGCTCTATGCTTGATCAGGACTTCGCTTTCTATATATCCGCATATGCGTACGATTTCTGCGCACACGTAAAACAAAGCTACGATACGCTACTTCTCAGGCTATTCCTACAATACCGATTAGATAGCAATTTCATTAATAAAGGACGATGTTAGCTTCTAGGTTTTTATTGTATTGAAAAAATTCGACACGATCCCTAAAGCATTGTAACAAAAATTTGAAAATGCCTTGGCCACGGGTTTACAGCCTTTACGCTCTGTGAAGACGCTTTGCTTAAATGCATTCAGAGACACTTAACGTCATCGAACAAACTTTGGCCATTATGTTTTCTATATATATATTTATGGGTATATATCCCTTTCCGTCTGGTGAATAACGGCCCACAATCGAGAGGGGAGAAGGGATCGTCTTTTGGCTTTCTATACCCCATGCTGCAATTCGTCACCTATCGCAAAGTTTGGAAATGAAAACAATTTTATTTGAAAATCGATATCAATTTTAAAAACTTAATACGTTTATAAACATAAAGCTTTAGTCATGATTGATGTAATGATCTGATGCGTTTAAAAATTTGTTTCTTATTTTTTTAGTGGCCCGCAACTCCAATGCCAATGCCAATGCATGACTATGAGAGTATAATGGATTCAGAGAAATATTCAATAAATAATTATTTGATTCTATTTACAGGTCCATTTTTATTCCTTGAATCATTCACGTCCGATTTACAGTTGGATTTACGTTGAACAGTTAGCATTCCCTCCGCAAAACCATTACTAGCGGAGCCGCCAGTGACTAAAATCAATTCGTTTTTATCTTTAATGCCATTATTAGCGGTGAATATCCTTTGTACTGTACCGGGTCCACTAACTTCCGAGGAAAGCGTTGAAGATGAAGCTAAGGCCGTTGGAGAAGCTGACGTAGTTGAGGACGTCGAAGAAGAAGATGCCGAATAGGTTAATGATGTATTTGAGGCAACGGAATTCCAAAAATTTTCTCCCGGCCCCATAACGTTTAAAAGTTTACGATTACTGGGATTATTATTGTTATTTGTGCCGTGCCCACCGAAATGAAAATTCAAATTAAATGATCTTTTGGCTCCAGCACTAATGCTGCTATTATTGTTATTGAATTCTCGCGACGTAGTCGGTTTCGCATCACCGCTTTGCTGAGATCTGTGCGGATATATTAATTCTTGGCTGCCGCCGCCTTCGCTAGCAGCACAACTAGTGCTAGTACTACTGCTATCTCCTACGCTAACGCCTTCGCCACCTTCGCTACTGCTACTGCCGCCGCCACCGCCCTCACCACTACCACCACCACCACCACCACCGCTGCTATTATCCAAAAGGCTGCTGTTACTTTGGATAAACATTTAAAAGATTTTTCTTCTATTTTTCTCGTATTTACGACGTCTTTTTTTTTCGTCTTTTTCCACTTAACTTACAACTCTGTATTTGTATGTATTTTTGCTTGTTTTTTGCACTTTTCCTTTTTTCTTCAAATTTTTTATTTTTCTTTATTTCAACTTTTCTCGGTTTTTATTTTTAAAGCTCATAGAACTAAACAAAACTGTTGTTATTTTCTTAATTAAAGTCGTCTTTTTTTTTTTTCTTTTTACGTATTTTTAAGAAGTAATTCACACTAAAATAATGTTCATTAGCTAACGACGTGAAATGAGATCAAAGAAAAAGAGTGAGAAAGAGAGAGAAATAGTTGTATTTACAAGAAGCTTTCACGATATATTGCAAAGCAGTTAAATGATAGGTTATATTTCTTATGAAAAAAAGTTTCTTAATTTTTTTAGAGATGTTTTTAAAAAATTTTGCAAAAAAATGAATTTTTTTTTCCGTTAATATGTTTTATTATGTGAAATCATATCCAATTTTTGGCGAATTCAATGGATCATGACTTCTAAAAACTCACCACTGAAGGCGATCGGAAAGTTCTTGCGACATCACCTGTAGATCGGTAGAAAATCTATGTAAATTGACTATACACACTTTGCGATCTCATACAAAAACGTGCAATGCCCGTGAAATGTATTCGAACAAGGCAACAGATTGGAGTGAAGTGCGGGAAGTAATGACAATCCTGCGAAGACGAATTTGCTGGTAAATAAAGGAATTCATAATGGTTTAGAGTAACCCGCTTTCAAGAGAAACAGTTATAATGAAGAAGTGAATTTCAATGGGGTCACATAAGCCAGAATGATTGATCAGTAGACAATAGTTGAATGATTAATTAATGATGGGAGTTCTACAAGTCACGGACGCATGGTGGAAAGACACTGCTTGCAATGAAAGCGGCCTTTCGCTAAGATATTTTGGCCAAGATATGAATCTTTTTTGAAAGGAAGAGCAACTGCGAAAGAAAACTTATCTTCACTGCTATTATGCTTAATTGTGATTCAATGCAGTAGAGTAAGTAGAGCACTTTTCAATAAGTAAAGACACTATAGTGGGCCACGCCGCACCATTAAATACCCTACACTGCTTCACTGCTTGCTCATATAAGGCCTTTTCAAAATAAGGTGTTATATGGAAAGTGGTCGAAAAAATGGACGCATCCGAGCCATTTCCTCAATAAATCAAATTTCATCAAAATATCTCAAAAATTTGCGACCTGTACATTGAACATAAGAAAGCAGGTGCACAAGACGAACTTTCGGAATTACTCTCTGAACTGGTTGATATAATGAAAGCGGGCTCTATCTCGAGTCCGTCTGGATGTTGCAAAACCCCTTACACCACAAATGGTGAAGGCTATTATAAAATTTGATTTCTTTTAAAAATTGACTGACTGATTAATTTCATACAACAGAGGCATCTACCCAACATATGGCCATGCAATGTTAAAGATCTTCTTCAGCAATTAGCGAAATATGATTTAAAAAGACTTGTCTGTCTCACATTAACAGAAATTCTCGTTAAGACAGCAAAATAAATGATTTTTTTTTATATGTTTAAAGAGAATAATCTGAAATTTCTTCTACATATATATATGTGTATATACATTTCTTAATTGGCATTAAATTGTTTAACATTGAAATTAAAAAGTTGATGACTTTTTGTATTTTAAGTTAAATGGATTTTTCTTTATTTGCACATGTGAAAGACAGATTACTTGCGACTTATGATAAACTCAGCTTAATAAAATACAATAACAAATTAACCGCAAATAAATGAAATTTATATCTCGAGCCGTAGCTGTAAAAAGTATTTAAATTAATAATCGATCAGGCATCTGAGTGCCCATCGGATTCTTTTGATGGACAGATTATACAGGGCAGGCAAAAAGTGGACATGTATTCTGTACATAAAACGAAAATTATCTCATGTTTATCTGTGCGTATGTGTGTGTGTGTGTGTTATAGACAACATTGTAGAAAATATAAGTGTACATATGTACATGTGTGTGGGTAGGTATGTGTGAATTTCGTAAATACTTATAAAATAAAAGCTCATGAATTAATTTAGCAAAGAAACAAAATATACCATAAAAAAACATAAATGCAGAAATAATAACCGCAGCACGTCGTTATCATAAAAAATATACACATATGCATATATATACATATTGAATAGCAAGCAACTGTGGTATAGTAGAAATTATTGTTGAGAACTTGTCTTATATGAGATTTATACTGATATGGGTATAAAAAATTAAGTACTTATACGACGCGCATACATCCATCCATACATATATCGCATACATAAAAAACTTTTTCTATCTCTGTAGGTATTAATTTCTATACCAATTCGTCGGAGGATGGGGGATTTTGTTGTTTTTATGGTGTACACATACGAGTTCAATGCCACTCTCGATGTTGATTTTAATATAAATTTATTTCTGTTGAATTATTCCTATTAACTTTTCCTTGTTTGCACATTGCGACGCTGGAGAAGAAGAAAAACAAGAAGAAGGAAACGACGACGGAAAAGAAGGCAATCATGAAGAAGAACAAGAAGAAGATATTAATATATAAAGTAAACAAAGGAAAACATTACTTTATGTCGAGTCGTGAAAGCCCATTAAATACCGAAGAGAAGAAGGCCCATGGATAAGCAAATTATTAGTTACGAGTTTCGCTTCTCAGTTGGCGATGAGCCGAGCGTACTGTGAATACATGGAATTTTCGATGGGATTCGTTAGCCACTGCTGTATAAGAACAGCCATTATTAGCCCTAGCTTGACTAGGGAAGTGAAGATTCACCTTAGTTGCCTCCTGCCCATTGACTTATCGGCCTGACTAGCAAAGCTCAACTTTGATGTTCCTAATCGTTCTTCATAAGCCCTGATCAAAGTCGTTACAACTACGAACATTATAACCCGATCAGGGTCCTTTGAGAAAGTTTACTAACTGATCCCGATATCCATCGAGTACCATCGATTGCCAAGCGGTTGCTTAAAATCTTAGCCCAAATCGTTTAGTATTGAATTTTCATATTAAATCTTATTCTTTAGTGTTTTCGTAGTTCGGCTTGTTGTCTCATTAAAGCGAGTATACTTCTATATTGTAATTGTCATCGTTCTTTATGAACTCAACTATTAGTTGTGCCCTAGAAATTATATATGGTTGAAATATTTGTAACCAATAAATTATACGATCTTTACACTAACGCATGTATTCCGCTTCTTTGGCCATCATTTAAGATATAATGATTAAATGATGACAAGATATTGTGATATCATTTTGATAAAAGCGTCCCGATCCAATCAATTTACTTTCTCAATCATATTACAGCTTGCATGTAAATATATCCTGATATAGACTTTATTATACATATACTGAAAAACAAACTTGTAGAGCTTCCAGCTCGTTGCTCTTTCCAGCGGCCATAGATATATAGTTTCGTAAGATATTATAAGTGTTATAATTGCTCTAATTTCTCAACATCAAACCATATGTAGGCTAAATTCAATTCTTTCGTTATACCCTGCCCTATACCACTCATGACACAAGGTATATTAAGTTTGTGCGGACGTACGCAATACCCGTAAGAGCTTAATTTAAGGCACTTTGCCAACGTTAAATGGCTAAAACTTTAAATAGAAATTGAATACATGGCACACTACAACTAGAAGAGAAGCAAACAGGAATAATCCGATCGATGGAGAGAGCTTTTCAATTCAAATTTTGGAGATTTTTAACGCTGGCAGTTGGTTAGATGACGGTCGTCACACCTCTCACTAGAGATTAACAATTTCAAATTGGATGTTATATCCTTTTTGCCCTGAACTTGTGAAAACCATTTTAAATCACATATATAATTAAATGTATAATACGCATATATATCTATATATGTGCATATATTAATTTTTTTTCATACATTATTGTTTATCCTGGGAGTTAACAACCTGTAGATAGCTTATAAATAAACAAAGCACACAGTGGATAATATTCGTTTGTTAGCGCGTTGTGCGAATTTATTGCTTTAATATTTCCAACATTAATGAGTCTCGCCAGTGCGACGCCCTATTCGCCCTTGCTTTGTCTTTGCGTGAATAAATGCTTGCAAGGATTTCACCTTAAATTGACATTTTGTTTTTTTTTTTAATACGCAGCACGAAGTGAGTGCACAAGATTTCTCACATTCATTAAAACACGCATCGAAGATTCCAATTTAACGCCAGTCGTTAATCCAATCGTTGATATCATAATTGTTTCGAATGAAAGTTGGCTTGGCTTCTTCAAGGCCATTAATTAACTTTTATCGACATAACGATACACGTATGTAAATAATTGATATTAATTGCAGGGAAGCCGATCATCTCATGCTATAGTTTTACGTTAAGTTAGTTTTGAAGCCAATGAGAAGCAATTTAAAACACTATAGCGGGATATTGCTCATCATTCAGTGCCCTATTCTGTTTGCTTAATGCGATTAAAAGTAAGGCCTCTTAGGTAAAGGTATCAAAAGATATCGATGTACCAAATATCATCAAAATATCTTAAAAATTTGCACACATTATGTTGAACACAAGAAAACGGACAGACGGACGGACAGACAAACATAATCACATTCAGAATCGATCGGTATAGTAAGAGATGGCTCCATCTCAAGTTTCTTTTTGGTTGTTGCATACATCCGCACAAACTTGATATACGTTTGTACGCTTGTGCACAAGTGATATAGAGTATAAAAAGCTTTAAAAAGCCTTGAAGAAGTTCTTATCTAATCTTGTTTTAATTTTAAGAATAGTCTAGAATAGATTTTAAGGCTAGTCGAAGTGAACGCGTGAATTCTCCTCGACATTCTTTATTAAATACTTCACTCTTATATTTTTTACTTTTTTTATACCTGTCCCTTAAACGTGCGTCGGGGAGAACGAAAGGACGAATGTGGAAAAGGTGGAGTGAATCATATGCCCATAAGTCATTAAAGTACAACCTGCAGCACTGGCAATTGAATCTATGTACGCCAACTTAAGAGTCGCGCTGTTTATCTACTAGGCTATGCGGCAGTCCAAACCAATTAGAGCCAATGTTTAACCTTTGAAAGAAGAAGAAAAGCTATCTTATAAATATCTCAGCGATTCAAATAAGTGTTGAGAAAGCTATCTACAATTATCTAGGAAGTGAAAAGATTTTGTACCTGCAGCCAATTCTATTACTGAGATTAACAGATGAAAATAGCGCCAATAACAAAATATGCGCAACATAGCTTCGCTGTGTATGTTTTTCTTAAAGAAGTAAGAAAAATATCTTCCTTGATATTCACGCTCTACGGAACCGATGCGTTATCCTTGCTGCCGCATAGCGGAGAACATAAAAGTTGCGACCACCAAGCAAGTACTCGAGGGTTTCAGCCAAACCACAAAAATTCCAACCATAAAAAAACTAAGAAAATAGCTTTCAAACAAGTGTCTTGGACTTCACCATTTTCCCATACTCGGTTTATACTAACATAACAAACTTCAAACATTCGGTAAAAACAATTCCGAAAAACAGAATTTGAATTTGTTTGGCGTTTGCCCTAAGCTTTGTTAAGATGGTTGGTACGCGCCTTTGCTAGTTCGGCTCTAATTTATATTCACATCACTGAATATATTGGAACTCCATTCTGCCTTTCATAGCAATTTTTATATCCCACATCACTTCCGGTACAGGTGTATATTGAGTGTATACGGGCGTATGCTGAGCCCAAAAGGGCTTATGTTGGACGCATCTTTTAGCATTATTCTTTGAAAGGATCTAAGCTTGTCTTGCTGTCCGTCTTGTTTTCTTGTGAGCTACCTATAGGACATGATTTTTGGAATATTTTAATGATATTTAGTAAAGTGAGATTCTTTATGACCGAAGGACGGATACGAAGACTTTTTCGATCCCTTCCTATATAAAGCGTTATTTTCAAAAGTCTTTATATGAATAACTATATTAAACAAAGCTGTTGTATTTAAGGGTTCGCCACGCTCTACTAAAGCGTTTTCACTTGTTGACTTTGAGAAATTCGGAACCAGTAGACTTGCTACGAAAAAACAAATTATTGACTCGAAGTTTCCCGCTTCTGAGTTAAAAATTAATTTATTCGTATGCTTTTTATGGAATCAAAGGTGTACTCTATATTCTGCTTCTAAAGGTCTTGCATAAGAAGAAATTTCAAGCAAAGCAGTTTTCCTAACTACACCTCTTTCTTCACATTGAAGCATAAGTAATATGGCGTCTATCACCAAATTTATCGGACAAGGTCTGTCACGGTAGTAGTTTCAATTGTTCTCTTATTTAGCACGTAGTCACTAAATGTTTATTGGGTCAAGCGAATTTTCAGCTTTGGCATTTTCAATCTTCTTGAGAATGTAAGTCCTTTTGTTTTTTTATTCTAGAGCGTTTATGGTGCAATGTATTAGAAGTTTGCTAAAATTTTGATCAGCGAGTTCTCCACATAAAAATGATAAATAAATGGGAAATACCAGTGTACATAGCGGTTCAATTCTATGGTTTTGACCTTGCTCTACATAAAGTACAAAGTTTTCCATTTAACATTATTGATTTATGGATTCAGCCTACCCTGACGCTAACCATAGATCGCTCAATATTCTTCTTCTTCCAAATTCATTACTTTCGTTGTTCGTTTGAAGAAATCTGCTGTCGAAGATCGCAAAGAACACTTACAGAAGCTTTTGGTTATGCTTCTCCATCATACCCCAATTGTCGGTTTTGGGTTCAACGGTGTGAAAGCGGCGACACGAATTGACTGACAATGCCACTTTTTCGCCACTGTAAGAGTTGTCCAAGATACATTGTTGCAGCTTAAAAGAGAAGTTCTGCCAAAGCCCGCCCACTTACCAGACATGGCGCCTCTGATTACCACTTACTCAGATCGGTGCAGCATGGCTTGGCTGGCACGCTGGTCCGCAAATTTGAACTAGTGCGAAAATGGATAGGTGGGTGGATCGCTGTCAAATCAATATACGTTCTTTCGGCATGATATCGCAATGTTGCCAAAAATATTGTAAAATGTTCTCGGAAACGGTGGAAACTATTTTGAATAATATATATTGTGGAAATTTTCCACAATAAATGCCTTTTCCATGTCCAAAAGTGATCAAAATTTTTGCAATCACCTAATATATCAAATTTGTGTATGCAAGACCCAGAAGGGCTCGAGGTACACCCATCTTTCATTATACGAAACGCTTTAGAATCACTTTCGGGCTCAGTTTAAACTTCTCTATCCCCCTGTCTCTGGTATTTTGTTGGAATTTATTGCAACAACGTGTTTTCGCTCAACGACTAACGTTTTTGAAAATTCGGTTCGAAGGGTGGGACCACACATTTGATCACTTCCCATATAAATATTCATTTTGAAAAGCCCTATGAATGCTGGTAGGGTGGTGTAGGGTATTTAACAGTACGCTCTGATTCCCCTTTTCCTTGTTTGAGGTTGCACAATCTAATGTTGCCGATTAGGAATAATATGTACTTCGCAGAGAAGAAACAAGAAATTCAACAAAGTCTATGAAAGTTCGTCTATTCGAAGAATCGACTATTAATTCCATCAAATTTTTGGTCAAATCTTTAGGATAATAAACAAATTGGTTTCTAAGCGATTTCGAAAACTTTTTAATATATTCGCTTGAAACAATTGACCATTTGTAGTCTTATGTCCGCAAATTTAATGAGGTCTCCATTACACACAAACACACAAAATGATAAGCGCACTAGTAGTAGACCCAAAAGAAAAAAAAAAAAATTGATATGTACATATTTTTATTGAAAATAGGCCAACAATTTTTTTTCTTTTTATATTTGTTCTTTTTTGACTCTTATGTTATTTGTATATAGGAAATGAAGCCAACGTGTGTGCGTTTATTTCTTTTTATTTTTTTATTTTTTTTGTTTTTTCTTCTCGGTACATAAACAAACTGTTTACGTCAATACAAATATACATAAATATTGGAAACAAAAATTTTCATAATTTTTTCATTTTTAATTAATTTTATGCAAATGTTGAACAATAAAATAAATAAATAAATAAAGAATAAATAAATAAAAAATTTGGCAAAAAAGAAAGGAAGACAGAGAGATCAAAAGCAATAAGAAAATAAAAAGGGTAAATAGGAAATAATAAAAAGAAAAAAGTATTTTTCGTTGCTTAATAGCAAAAAAAAAAAAAAACACAAAAACAAAAAACACAACTAAGGAAAACAGCTGATGACGAACACCACACACGAAATTGCATCTAATGGTTATTTCAATGTATGTGTACGCTTAGTATAGATATAAATATGCAGGAAAATCGTTAATGCCTGAACTATGTAGTACAAGTAGAAGCAGTTGTTGGAGAGGGAACTGGGAGGTGGAAGGCATTTGGACTTTTTCCTTACGAAATTGTTTATAACTAACTGCCTTGGCATGCATGCCAATTATATGCAATTACATGATGGTTAAGAATTTTTGTAAAAGACAAGGTAACTAAACGGTAAGAGAAGTCGTATAATGAACAATATAACACATGATTAAACAATTGCTGGTGAAAAAAAAACAAGAAAAAAGAAACAACTTAAACTCTCTTCTTTTTTTTTTCCTCCTTTTCCTACGACTGTATGCGCGAAGAGTTGTATAATGAAAGTAAAATTATATACCAAGGTTGTAAAAATTTATTGTTGTTGTTATTATTGTTACTAATATTTATATATATATATATATATATATATATATATATATATGATTGTTACACAATATATTAGGGTATATAAAAACTTTTCTATTTAAATTATTTAATTAAGATTTAATATTTAATTGAATTACTTTAAACATTTGTAACTTTCTTTCGCTTTTCACGTTTTCTCTTTTCAAATCAACCAAAACAAATAATCAAAGTTTGCTGTGTTGTTTGTTGCTGCTGCGATTGTTGAGCAAGAAAAATGCAGAGAGCGCGAGAGAGAGAATGGGAAATTTCTCACTATCAAGCACACACATATAGTATAATGTTTTTCTTTTTTATTTATTTATTTTTTTTTTGTTATTTATTTATTTTTGTTTTTTTTTTTCCTTTTTTTGGATCACGAATTCACAAAAAAAACAACAACAACAACAAGAAAATAAATACTGGTGATTAGCTATCGATATGACAACGGGATAGCAAACACGGAAGCAATGTAACCATGTTCTGGCACAGGGTCGGTCAACAGATTGCAGAAAACGGAACGATGGTGGTCAAACCGAAGCACTCTGCGTGTAATTGCACATTTACCGAGATGTGTATGTTAACACCGTCACCATCACCAACACACTAACATAGTTGTAGAATGTAATCAAATTGATGATAGAACATTACTGCCAGAGCGAGCAGCCGCGCGATGCAGAGGCAGTAAGTAGAGTCAAGCATAAAAACACAAAAGAAGAGATAACCACCCCAACAAAAACGACGATGATGATGATGATGACGACGACGACGACGACGACGACGACAACGACAACGGCTACGATGAAAATGCAACGCAACGTCGATGACAACGATAAATATTATAAAGATGTTGTTGCTTTTGTTTTTTACTCTTTAAACACACACACACACATACACACTTCGTCAAACAAGTTAAATTAATTTTCCTAAGTTGTTTTTGTTTCACGTTAATTTTGCGTTTTTGTTTTGCTTTTGTTATTATTATTATTATTATTATTATTATTATTATTGATTACATTTAATTTCTTTTCTAAGCTTTAATAGCAGCAGAGATGGCGATAATGTCTTTTTTGCTCTTTATTCCTTCTACACTTTGTCGTTATTAAATTTATGCTTTTAAATATATATATTTTGGACATAATTTTGTTTTTTCTTTTTTTTTTTTCTATTTTTGTTTTTCTATTCTTTTAAGTTGGACCGTTAATCGTTCTAAGAACGTAATGCAGAATATGTACATAACGCCACTATGTGTGCTTGGCAAGAAGGAAAGAAAAACAAAAAGTCTTTGTATCTGGTTAAATAAATGGTCTTTCGCCTATTGAGCTCAGAGACGTCTTGCTGTGTATGGCAAACTGGTTGATGTGAAACTGTTCGTAAAAGATAGAGATCACGTATAAAAATGCATGCACAAATACGTTAGCCGTATTTGCATGCTAACAACAACAACAACAACAACAACAGCATTCACTGCAATATATAAACGTCACAATGCTATCTTATGAATGTATATACGTATATATATATATATATATATGAATATATGTATAAAATTGTTAAAATTCTCTTTCGCTACATCTCTTTCTTTTTCTCTCTTTATTTGCATTTCTCACATATGTATTATATACACCGAGTGGCAAAAAATACCACTGCTTTTTCAAAAAAGAAAAAAGAAGTGAGAACGCGTACATATGATGTCTGGTTTCTTTTTGTTTTCTTTTTTTTTTATTTCGATGGAATTAAAATAACAAAGCAAAAGTTAAAGGATGAAAATAAAAAGCAAAGTTTCCGATGAAATACTAAAATTACTCATCAAGCAAAAAAACGTTTTATTCATTTTGGAGCAGGTGTGTCCAGCCTGAATGCCATGCTTTACCGCGAACTTGACTATTTTTCGGAAAAGGACGAGAAGCAAGCAATGATCAACTCTCTATTAAGCATATGGGAGGTCCTACGTTCGCAATTAAAAGGTAAAAGAAACGGATATAAACTGATCTTTTGGGAGAAGCGTCACAGTATAAGTGTTAGAGACCTGTGAAAATCATTAATATCTAGCAGAATTGTAGCAACCACGTGGGCATGTCACTTGATGGAAGCAATTAAAAGAAATAATTTTTTCTTATGGGCTGCTATACGCGCATTTCTGTATAGACGGTGACGATTATAAGGCTATTAAAACTTAACCTGTAGTTATTAATTAATAGTTTACTTGCCAATTTTCACCTTTTTAGGGTAAATGGATTATAGGATGAATCCTTCGCCCATTTGTGTCCGGCAGATGGACGCGTAGATGAAATAACAGACCGATAATATATATATATCTTATATATATCTTAAACAGCTTCTAACTCGTGCTTCTGGAGGTTATCAACAGAGAAGATACACAATGCGCTGTAGAATTGCACACTATACGGTTTAGTTTACAAACAGTATAGCCTGTCATGGGCCCTTCAAACAAAAGTCGAAAGAGCCATTCTATAGCGATCCAAAGCATTTTTAAAATCGTCTGTCATTGGGTCGAAGTACCGCTCATCAAAATATATCAAAAATTGCAACCTGTAGAATGAACACAGGCATATATGACGAGCAGACGGACGGACAGACTTAAATCGATTGGTCTATGCCGAGTTCTTTGGATGTTACATAAATACACGCAACTTCAGTCGGTATGCGATCGATTGGGAGAACAAAAGTGGGGTCTAACTCAAGTCTTTAATGATATGAAAATCCTGCGATGTTTGACCCTTTGCACTCGAAGTTTTTTTTAATTCGTATTTCAATCCGCGAGCCGCGACCGTCATTTGTCACCACCAACAGCGAAACACCCGAATACTAGTTTTTGCGATTTGTTTTTGCTTTTATGTTAAGAACTGTAAATTATTGTTGTATAGTTTGAAGACCAATTTTAAATGGCTCCACTCCGGAGTCCTCGAGTGCAAAGCAAAGCTAATGGAGAAGAACTTTGAATTCAAAGCGTAAGGAATACAAGAAAAAAGGTAAGAAATATCTCTCCGAATTTTTACGAACTACTTATATAATACTTTGGATTCAAAAATGTACTATCTACCATTTATAGGTGAAGAGATCAAGCTTGAAAACGGTCAATATTCAACGAGAAACTCGCTAATTTGTAATGAGAATGGAACGTCTAAATATTGTCGCCAATAGCTAGAAACAAGTATTGCTCTTCGTTTAAAACTGAATGAAACGATGATTACCTTCTTTGCAAGAAAAAAAAAAATGTAATGACTTTTATATATTATATACTCTGACATTGCAACTGTCCAAGTCAAAAACATATTTCTTATCTTATTTAACATTCAGATGTTCTTCATATTCCAAGTTATTGCTATGAAAGTCAAAGTTGCAAAGGCTTGAAGCAGAAAATTGAAACTTGGAACTTATGTTTTTCTAATTTAACTCACAGACCCGATTGAAGGGCCAAGCTTCTTATAGTAGAAATTGTAAGGAATTTCTATTAAAAGATAAATTGAAATGCAAACATTTCAACGAACATATGTTTTAGTTTTTTTATCGAATTCGCTTAACAGTCGATAGGCACTCATAAAAATTAGGGAATGCGCAATGAAAATGCAAGTTTTTAAATGAAGATTTCGTGAACCTATACAAAGCCTTATTCAATTTTTTCCAATGTAAATACCCTACACTATCGTAGAGTTATCCATATATAGATTTTTCAAAATAAGCCGTTATATCGAAAGTGATTGAAAAAGTGGTCCAGGTTCTTCCTAGGGTGATGTATCATCTTTAATCAAAATATCTTAGAAAAATTGCATAAATTATAAGAACAAATTGGAATTAATAACGGAACTAAATTGACACCTAAAGACCTAAAAACCCCATATTACACTTAGAAGACAATTTCCTCTACAGATTTTCATTTCATGCCTCATAGCCGAGTGGATATGCGTTAGCGGCTACCGACCTGCATTCGCAGAATCAAATCCCTTGCACATTTTGACCACACCTCGTCGACACTATGCTGAGTGCTTAGTCCTTAATCACATAGTACTTATCGACAGAGGACACTAGGCCTCGCCTCTTTCCCCGCCTCCTAATCTCGTTTCCCACTTCTGGCTTACTGTGTTATACACAAAAATCATTGCTCACAGTAAAAACTAAACAAGTAAAACAATTATATTCGGTTGTGCGGTAGAGTGTTCAATAAATCAATAGCCTTACATGCTAGCGCTTTAGGATTTTAATCATCAAAGCTTTTTTCTTTGGCTAAAAAATCAACAATGATAATAATAATGTATTCGTTTGTGACCGAGTTTATTATACCCATCGCCGTTAGCCTATATTTTAGAGGGAGCGTGCAACTGTTCGCTGTTTTTGTTACATAGGTGTCAGACGCGTTGTGGACGTGTTCTCTCAAAAATTTTTGGTCGTTTTGAAAAATTTGTGCAAGTTTGTAGGCGGGAATGTTCATTTTTGCGACCGGGAGAATGTTTACCACAGATGACCTGACGGACGTGTTCGATGCATCCCGAATTTCAATTTGGCTAAGAAATTGTATACTTTGTGGGGCTTTTAAAGCTTTCTTTTACACTTTATTAAGATATTGGAAAAAATATGAAATTGTGACTCACTGTAACGTTAGGTAGGCGTGGTCAATTTTTACAGTCAGAGTGTATAGATTTACGTTTTTGTAGATTTGTCTCTGGTAAATTCAATTCAATTTTCCATTCTTTTCGAAAAACAGATATGGTCTCAGCTTACATGGTACTGCAGGGGTATCCAAAACTTCTGCCAAGTTTGAAGTCAATGGCTTCATTTTTGCGGCCAGGAGATTGTTTACAAAACATTACACCGACGATTCAGAATTTGATGCTAATCAAAAATGCATATACTTTGTGGGGTCTATGCAGCTTCCTGCTAGGCATCAAGTATAGTTTCTCATTGTGGCAAATAATCATTTCAATATATGCTGCAGAAACGAAGTTTGCATGGGAGTTATTAGCTTTTTCTTTCAAGCGATCAATTGCAACGAAAGCACTCAGGCCATGTATCTGGTACAGTTTTCCCGACGCACATACTTCCCCAAAATACATGTAGGCAGCCAATTGTTCTTATAAGCCATTACTACAGGTTTGTACTTGTACGTGAGCAGATTGCAGTTGAGAGTTTAAGTAGCAGTCGTGACGCAAAAGTTCAATATTGATATCTGCAAATTTCTGCTAACTATGGCCAAAGGGGATCACGAGTTGTTCAAAAGTTAACCTATGGCTATTTATTGAAGGTTTACACGCCAAGTTGCGATTTTTTACGACAATTGTTTATGCGAGTGCTTATAAAAGCGCTCCATCATCATGCGACACACAGATGGGCAGGTGGATGAAATAGCAGGCCAAGAATACATATGTTTCCAGAATCTTCTGTATATCTTTTAAGAGGTTAATTGCGATGAAAACAGTAAGTCCATGTGTCCGGTAATGTTTTTCTTAATCACGTACTTCCCTAAAATGCACGCAGACAAGACATTGCATCTTCCCTCTTTGTTTTTTTTGTTAAAAAAATCAAACAAAGAAAAATTCTCTTCTTATTTAGAGAAAGAAAGGAATGCTGAGTGGAAAACAAAGAAAAGCGAAGCGTAAATAAAAAAGTTTGGCGTCGAGTTTCTCATTCTCTACTGGCCATTATTATGGTTGAAGACTGTTTACAGCCACGTATATCAATGCAATGAAATGAGCTTAGAGCTGCAGCTCTATGCTCTGTTTGGTATTGCGCATAAAGCACATAGGGGCATATGTATGCGTGTATGCGTGTATGCTGGTTTCGTACCCAAAGAATCCCAACTCTCAGAACTAACTAATAATTGCTTTTTCTTTTTATTGCTGTTGTCTTACATTACTTTTACTGTTATTGTTGTTCAAAATATTTGTTACTG